TCTTCAAAGCCCTTCGCCACACACGTTTACTTGAAGTGAAAGTAAGCTCATCTCTTTCCTCGACTTAAATCTATAGCGAAATTAAATAATAGTCAAACTTAAATTTCACTTTTGATAATTTATGTTTAGCCTCTATTATGATACTACTAAATATGCATCAGTAGTGTGGTCTATAATCAATAGAATGATACAAGTAATACACTCAGGCCATTAACTTGACTCCATCCCTCTCTACTTGCATTCGTCTCTTGCTTTGTCAGGTCGTAGACAGCCGCAGAGGCCCTGGACCCCGGCACATAAGCCAGATCAACAAGTTGCAGCGACGCCGGCATGCAAACCTATGCCCGCCAGCCGGCCAGTCGTACTGCAGCAGCACCAGCGCCAGTGAAACTGTCGGCTGTCCGGCCTCCGTTTCAACCCGAGAAGTCAAGATTGCCGAAGAACCCATAAATCCCAGTCCCGTGCCTTCCACTGTTGTGCCTATCTCTCGGCAAATCATTGTCGCAAAGCAACCGCCCCTTTTCTGTTGCCATCGGAGACTATGGCCGGACCGTCCGAGCACCTGTCAACCGTCGCAACGCATTGCTCATCTGCGAGCCCAGCGAATTGTGCCGCATGGCCACCGTCAGACTGGTAAACACTTTCCACATCAGTATCAGCACCAACTCTGTCATCATCAACATCATCATCACCATCATTATCATCATCATCACCATCATCATCATTACCATCATCCTCACAGTCAACCAGAGCCCCGATTCGACTTCTCCCACCATCATTACCCTCCGCCATATCCTCAGGATAACATGCACTTCCTTCCCCTTCAACTCGCCGATTCATATCATTTTTGCAGGGGTCAGGTTAGTGGAATCTGCTGTTCATGTCGACTCGCGGTTGCAATTTCCTCTGGGTCCTGCGCCCATGAACGTGGCAAGTCTTCGCCCTCGGATTCGGCCACCTCATGTCTGCCTTACTTTTTCTCTAGCCACTCATCAGCATCTTCTTCACTCTCCTCCGCCTCCATCTTATCCACCGCCTCCGGCCAACAGCCTTTTCTCCACGGTCTGGGCAAACCTGATCAAGACATCGTTTTGTCGCGGATTCCACCTCAGACCAGCAGCACAAGCGACTTATGCCCGTCGGCTCCGGTTGGATTTCACTTACTGCCAGGCGCGACGCTCCAATTGTTAGCCGAAGAGTCCACTTGTGTCATGGAACTGGTCGAGTGTCGACAGGCCGTTCGGCCGAGTCCGGATGAACCGAGGGCGACTCGTTCTTGCCTGAAATCCGACCAATCGCGGCCAGGAAACAGGGTCTGGACGAGTGTGCCGGTGAGGCAGAAGCGACGAGTCACACTCACGCCGGTCCGGGCGCCCGATTGTGAGCAGATGGAAGAGTTGTTCAGTGAAATCATGGCCAAGTGAGCCTTCAAATGACAAGCCAAGTTTTTTTAAGCCACTATGGCAACCAAGTGTCGGGTTAATGAAAAATAAGTACGAATTTTATATTCATATTGAGTCGATTTGGAGACAATCACTATTTCATAAATAATAAAAGAGATTTGGAAAATAACTCCACTATCAGTCTTTAAATCACCTTATTTAAGATTTAATTTTAATTTCGGCAATACTCGTATTGAATAAAAGCACAGTCGTAGATTTGTAGGTTATGTTTATGACCGACTTATTAACACTGCCATTAAAATGGGGTTTAGTGTTTTTTGTTATTGTTCGTAGCTGATGGTTTCTGGCACTACGATAACTCAGGTTCGAGTCATGCCGTGAGTGCTGATGAGGCCTAGCGAGGTCGAAACTGCAGTCCAATCTTGTCTGGATTATGATATCTTCTGGGAAATCTACGCCATGTGAAATGCAATGGAAACCTAGATATACTCATAGGATTGTGGAAAAATTCAACTAATATTCTTTCATCACTTCATAGTCTTGTATTGTGCTTGCAGAACCTTGCCCTGGACGGCCTTTAGCCAAAATTCACACTTTCTCGCCACCTCCAAGGTCTACTCTTCCTTCTTGCCCTTTTCTCATCTTCATCATCAGCATCCTAGGTACCACCAACTACCTGCCTTGGCAAAAGTGTTTTCGTTGCACTTCTTTTGTTCTCTATATTCATCTATCTATTTTTATATGTATAAACCCTCTCTCCATTTAAAATCTCCCTTCCTCTGTTCAATTATTGTGTCAACAAGATAACAGCCATAATCTGCATGGAGGCATCCGTAAATTAAATGTATTTACTCATAATTTGGCCTTAATTGTAGACAGACTATCAGCTAATTACGGTGCAGAGCCAGAGTAGTAATGAGTTGTATTCACATAAACTAAATTTAGATATTATCAGCAAATCTTAAATTCAGAGATATAGGCCACATAATTTGGTGAAGGACATATAGTTGAATTTTCCCACAATCAGGAGTGTATGACACATTTAAGTTATCTTTCATGTTGTCTTTTTTCCCGAGAGTTATTCTGATTCCGGCTGGACTGGACTACCGTTCCGACGTCATCTGGACCTCATCAGTACTCCCAGCGGGAGTCGAACTATGGATCTGATATAATATCAACAAAAGTGCCCCTGGCTCACAGGGCAGACGTTAGTTTCAAGGATTTCAGGCCCTTCACACCTCACATTTATAGAAAGATTGTCACCGAGGCAACACTGTATACTTAAACGCGTTCACCGCATTTCGTTTAAGGTGATGAGGAGACTGGTAGATAAATTTTCCCATAATTATATGAGTAGATCTTATGCTTCCATTGAATATCGCATGATCTTTCTTCCCAAGAGGTAGTCTCATCCCGTTGGGATGGACTGCAGTTCGATCTTGCCTGAATTGGTCTCATCAACACCTCCAGCGGGACTCGAACCATGTCAATGCAACGTATAATCTCGAAATGTTAATCACCACACCAAACTGCCAAACTCTGTAGTCATCCCTCAGTATCTTGGTATCTTTTCGAGTGAAATTTATGTGCAAACAGAAAGACTATTTCGGACGCCAACTATCCCGAGGCTCTTGTATATAAATGCCCTTTAATGTGTACGCATATCCAGGTAGTACGTAAAACTTGATTGGAGTCGGTGTTGATCTTGCTTGCATTCCACCGTTGGTAGGTCTACCAACGGTCTGTTACTCAGCATGTTGTCATCTTCATTATAAGAAGACTAGCACTAAATAACTTTGTGTAACCATTGCATAACCTCCTGGCTTTCGATCTAAGAGAAAGTAGGTTTTAACGATGCTAATGAATTCCACTCATCCTTGCCTCTCAAAAGGTATTCTCATCCCAGATGGAGGGGACTGCAGTTTTGACTTCGCCTCGGTCTCAGCACTTTTGATGAGATTCGAAAACGGGTAGTCGGACGTTTATTTTCAGCTTTAGATCGCACCACCACGAGTTCAAGTTGGATGCACTAACCCTTTAGAGAGTGACTTTGATCTCTGTGGTGCAACGTAATTGCGACTTGTCACGAATGAATGAACATGTTGGTCTGAATGGCTGAGTAAAAGTAGGGATCATAGGCGTCCCTTAGTAACTTCCTGCCACTGAAATACTTAAAGTGTATTCAATCTATGTCGTTTAAGGTGATAAAGGGACTAGTAGTTGAATGCTTCCCACAATGATATGAGTGAACGTTACATGTCCATTTAATTTCGCATAGCCTTGCTTTCCCAAAAGGTATTCGTTTCGAGTAGGTTTTTGAGACTACCAGTAGGTCAGTTATATTCATTTCATATATAACTATCCTACTTGTAATCTCGAAAATCTAATTATAAACGAAATACTGTAATTTTTTGTATATAAGCAGAGTTTTGAGGCCCATATAACCGTATTTTTGTTCCTAAGATTAATTTGGGCGAAAAACTAACAAGAATTACTGACGATGTTTACCAAGGTGCTAGCGAAACGTATGGAAATCGGCCAAGTCTACGATTAGATCGTATTTGGAAATTATCATGACTACTCTAGCGGAGGAGGCCGTACAATGTACCTTATTCAAGGTTGTCCTGATAGCACAGCCGAGTTGTGAAAACTGAGTTAGGTATAAATCAGTTATATGAAATGTGTTCTTCAAATTAACCAGATATGTCAGATTACGCAACCCCAGTCTTGCTTTTCCTTGAAGGGTTAAACG